AATGAACGTCTAGAAGTGCGAAAGTACAATATTCAGTGTTCCCATTTTACAAAATGAGCGTAACAAATGAATTTAAAAGACTTGCTAAAGAGTCTCATTTTATAAATATTTCTACACCAAAGGTAAATTGTGCTGCTTAGCCTCGAAATAATTAAGAAATATGTGTAATGCGAATTACTCCCCTTTTCATTATCATAACGTCCTAAGCCATCGTCGTTGACGGCGTCGCTAGAGACAACAATTTCATTCGCCTGAGGAGTATTAGGAGGGAGGAATCATTAGCGAACATTATGTGATTTTTATTGTGATTTTGAATATTTACTAAATGTAGTCTATTGCAAATTTTTTCTTTTATTTATATATATCTGTACACAGTGGAGCTTACAAATTAATTCTATAAAAAGTCTAAAGATTTTCGTCTTACTATGTGACAACTTTCCGACAGGCGTTCTCCATCGAATACCCTGTGGTTATACAGGGCTAACACCATAGTTTATATATACTTCGTCTCAAATTCAGCCCAACAATGTTAGATCTGCAAATTTGCGTTAGGAAATTTGTTGTTCTCCCCTCAGCGGGATTCGAACCCCTGCATCTGAGACATCGTGGCAACAGTGCCTGCACTGTGTCCATATCTTTTAAAGGAGAGGTTGAATGATTGCCAATAATACAACTATCCACAAAGAACAAAAGGAAAATGATGTGAACAGGTCACCATGCAGTCTTCAAAAATAAACAAAATCTACATTATATAGTAAGGTATAAAGGCTCCGGAAGACACAATGTGATATAAAATAAAACCAACGACCCAAAAAATTAAAAAAATAGTAGCCAGTAACAAGCATTTACCAATATCTCTAAAACCGCGATGTTTTGGCAGTTATACACCTGTTTTGAATAACAATTTAGAAATGTCACTTAGGTACGCTTTACTATTCCTTACAATGCTGACCCGGGGAAATTTGTACAAAAAATAAGAAAAAACAAATCAAAGCATGGAAATATTACTTGCGGTAATTCAAACCCCGATATTGTATAACGTTCTACCAAATTTAGTAAGTATACAATTTTGAAAAGCTCTTTCCCTATTAGAAAGTTTTTAGGAGTTTCCCTATAACACTAAAAACATTCACGCATTTAAGGATGTACACTTCTGGGGAGTCAAAAATTTCTAGAATTAAACTTTTTTTCTTAACCTGATTTTTGGTTTTATCTCACTATAAAAAATAATTGGTGAAGAAAAAATCATATGGTGGTGCCCTTCTTTTATTGCTACGGCCATTTGAAATTATCCAATTTTGATGATTTTCTCATTATTCATCAATTGTTTTCCATTTTTGGGCTATTATCATGAAAAAAATCACAGTTTCACAATTAAACTTTTTTTCATACTTTCACAAAAGATGAAGTGGACCAATCTGAATAAATTCAACTTGAAAAAATTATAGGTAGGTGTTAATATAAGAAAGTTTTATAAAATTTTGCTGCTTTTTCGTGCCAAAGTTACCACGCTGTCAATTTTGTAAATATGGGATTTTTCTCTTTTTTTAGAACAAAAAGCATATTATTTCAACTCCTTTGTTATAAATGATTGAAAAAATACATATCTGAAAAAACTGAACAGAAAAAAATTGATATGGGTTGTACATGTTTCTGGTAAAATCATTTCTTGTACCCCTCACCCATTTTCTCGACATTTGGCTAATGAGACTGACTTGATTGGTTAAAAAATTCAAAAATTTTATTACTCAAAAACTACTTATTGTAAATACACAATTTTTATTACAGAGTTAAGTTTGATTATAATATTTTTAAAATTCATTGATATTTTCCACTTGTATCACATGTTTTGGAAATAATGGAGACTGAAACATCACGTCAGAGGAATACATCCTTAATGTATGTGATATGCAACCCCTAAGGTTTACTAACTACGTATATTCGGTATGGAACTATTAATTACACATAACTAACTCAACTTCGAAGGCTGAAAGAACAACATATCTCTCATTTCTTAGAAATAGCTTAGGCGAGTTATTTTGATCGGGTAAAATTCGAACTAAAAAGAAATAAATCGTTGTTCCGTTTTTTTAAGTCGTTAAAGTATAACATAAAAACAGAGGTGATCGACCTTGGAACACTAAACATTTCATGTTGTTTACTTTTTCTTATATTCTCGCAATTGCATGTTTTTGTGGGTTAAAACATAATCGGCCAAACTCTTGTATATATTCACCATAGCAATTTATGTTAATGGGATACTAGATATGACCAGTGTTTTTGTACCCTCAAATTTAGGAATCAGTAGTTTATCGATGTTCAAAACTCATAAATCGATTAAGAAATTAGAAATCACGGTAACAATAAAAATAAGGGAATCGCACGAACTCGAACGCGAGACCGGGTGAGTCGACAGTTTAAACGCCCCATGATATACATACATTAAGCGCTATGCGAATCAACCATCAGCCAAATGTCACAATCGGGAAAATACACAATCGATAAAATAAATGATCCGAGTATCCTGGCATTTTAAGATATCAGACCGTAAAATTATTGCGCTAATGGTTTGAGACACAGGCAAATATTTCCGGTTAAGAATGTGATTGTGAATGTAGAAGAGAGGCAGAAGTTATAAAAGGGGTATTCAAACGCACTTTATTAGACAAACTGGCAACTTCAGGACATACAAGTTATGTAGTGTCGATCTTAATCGTTCTTCCTCATAACTCAGTTGGAGCTGTTTTTGTTTAAGGACATCACCTGTTTATAAAGTAAACAAAACGAGAACATGCACGAGCGTAACGTATTAAAAAGTTTTACAAAAATACATAAGGTATGGTGTAGGAATAAGAATTCACCATGTAGTTAAGTTTTTGAACTGGAGGACTGTTATTTTCCGAGGGTATCACCAGCCCAGTAGTCAAGACTTCGATATTGGCATGAAAATACGGATATTGTTTTATTAAGATTTGATGTTACACAATTTTGAAATTATTTCAAATTAAAGAATATATTTCTCCCTCATGCAAAGTTCTGCCCGGCTTTGTCTATACTTTCTAAACTGTTAGGCTTGCATTATTTTTTGTAATTGTTTTAGCATTACTGAAAAGATATTTTTTGGCAAAATGCGCATCTTGTGCGGTAAAATTGGTACAGTAAACAAGGTAACTGTTTTTGAAATTAATGAGAACAACACGTTATTAATTTCATGCATCCGAAGCGCTTTTCTAGATTTACCTTCATCAGGAACTTGAAGTAATCTGGTATTGTTTTTTGCACAGATTTTTGGTGAAAAATATTGTTTATATTGGTAGCATCACAACCATTATAAGCGTACGTATTTTCATTATCTTTGGAAGTAGTGTTTTTGATTTGTATAGGCTGGGATTATCTATTTCCATTAGTATGGCAACGAATCTATTATTTTTCCTATCAATAAGTGTTTTGGACCTCTTAAAACCTAAAATACTAGAAATCGTACATTGGTGTGTGTGTGTGTCCTAGTTATTGATATGAATAGCCATGGCTGTTTAACTGAATTTAAATTAAAATATGTACAAAATTAGAATGTTGAAACTTCAGAAACCTAAGGTGGCAAGTGTACGATTGATTATTTCAACACTTCTACAAAAAAAAAATCGATTATTTCCTGAAATAAATACTGAAACAGATATTGTTTTCCAACTTTTGAGATCACAAACTTTTAAGAAATTTGACCGTTTGAAATTTAACATAATACGATTTTATCTACATTATTAACATTACAGTGTTTTTTAAATGAACAAGCTGTGTAGGAGTAGGTCTAACGAAAGACAACAACACTTTATAAATTTCGTGTGTACGAAGAGCTTTCCTGTGTTAATCCTCACATGTAACGCTCAAATCTAAACATTTGAAAGCGAATTAAGTGAAAAGTTCAAATAATGCCTACAGTTAAATTTATACATACAAATACGGAATATCCATCGAAGAACAATTAACCTTGGGACGAATTGATCAGTCAACATGTTCCATTAATAAAGTCAGTATCCTTCCCTCAAACAACATTGTCCAAATCAGCAATTCCCAAAGAAATCGTCTCACAACCAAAACAGATAATCTCTCAATATATATGTACCCCTATTATTATACTTTTATTTTTCTATCCATTGATGATTCCAATTAATCCCCCCCACACACACAAAGCTTTAAAGATTCGATCTAAATGATGCCATACTGCCAAGAGCATATTTGAGAAGACCTGCAAAGTGTATGTATGGTTATTGTCTTACTCTTTCACATTTAACCCTTGAACCTATTTAAAATCTCAAACCTTCATCTAATGTTCGGTAATGTAAAACATTACCAACTTTCTTTGATGCTGTTGCACCATCATCATAATCAAATGTAAACAGTATTTTACATCAATTCTTAATAGCGCGGTCTCAATATCTGTCTGACAAAAACGCACTTTAATTTCACATTCCAAACTAAAAGACAAATTGAAAGAATTGGTCCTGCTTTGTTTCATAAAAAAATGGCTAACGTAGATATAAGTATCTTGTCTTCGGTAATTTGAAATCGTATTTTGAAAAAAAAAAATCATACTGATTCAAACAAAAATTTCTCTGACTCTTCATGTCAAGGAACAGTAAATGGGCTATGTCACAGATTTTGGTAAAATTTTGCATACAACTATAACTGAAAATTGAAAAAAATAATGTATTAATCTCTTTTATTATCTGAAATATTACTGATTGGATTCTTTCATATATGTGAACATTTGTACAGAAACCACATAAATTCGGCGAAAAACCTTCTTAAATGTGTCTAAAAATCATCAAATCTCTAATTTCATGTAGTTTTACAAATAACCCTTTTTCACATTATTTTTGCTTTCCGTCATGATTTCACAGGAAAAATTAATGACTGGAATGAAAGAAAATCGTATAATTAGTTCAACGACAAATTTTAAACTAACATTCTAATCGGACATTCTGTTTTCTAAACTTACATACCTATTTTTAATATCTTTGCAATCTTGTCCGGAATCCATGGATTCAGGAAGAAAACAATAAAGACTGAAACACACAAATGAAAAGACGTATGATGTACATTTGCACACTTGCCCAGCTAAGCATGAGTTTTACTGCCGAATCGATGAAGTCTAGAGGACTTCTTTTCCGTTCCCAAAACCAATTTTTTGTTTGATATAATATGATGTGTATTTCAATGTCCACCACGTCTATTTTCAAGGTTTGTAATGTATACAGTCAATCGTATTTAAGAATCGTTTCGAGCACCATTTATTAGTGATGTCAAATTGAACAGTTTTGCTAACCGGTTATTCGGAAATCTTTTGACCGAATAACCCGGTTAACCGGCAGTTATTTTGAAGATTTGTTTACACTCTATAAATCCATGGTTTTATGATACAATGAACTGAAGTTTATCCTTGCGCATTATAAAGGCCTGGATTTGAGCGTTCCTGTTGAAGTTTTACTTTTAACAATCCAATACTACCCTATCGACTATGGCGTTTGTAATAACTTAAGATGAAAATAGTTCGGATTTAGGTGAACTGACAAAGTCTGAAACCGACGATTGTTTCATTTTCTCTGGTGGCTTCTGTGAATTTTTTTTTAATTAGATATGATTAAGCATGTCAGTCGTACCCCCAGTATACATTAATTCCATTCACATAATTTGAATGTCGCAATTTTTTATTAGGTATTTCGCTTTAAGTATTACCAAGCGTTTGGCGATGGATGTGGCATACTTACACGTCAGTCTAAACAATAATAAATCAAAGTTAAATAATGAACAAAATCGTAATATTTAATCAGCTTACAACTGTACAAGATATATGTATGCTAACTATGTTTACTTTAAATCTTGCCCCGAGCTGATAGATAAGTTGTCTTTATGCTAATTAATTTTGTAAAGATTGGAATGTTTTCAAGGTTAATAATAGTAATCAATATACTGGACAATCGATCAGTCAAATTAAGTACCAAGATAATAATTTTAAGAATCAACAAAATTAATCAATGATTTCAATACACATTTAAATCAAATTAATTAAAATTTCAAAAAATGGTCAGGTTAACCGGTTAAATTTTTTGGTATTCGATATTCGGTCCTTCCGACGGTTAACCGGTTAACGCTACTTTATATCTATTACTTGTCTGTCTAAACCTATACATGACTGGAAATTATATTCTACACAATGAATCGAATTTAATAATTCAATCTCTAAAACAAACGACAATGACTCACGAAATAAATAACTACTGAGTCTGTTCAGCATATGCACGTTTTAAAGTATTAATTATGATTTTATGTCGTAATACTACTAGGGGCCTCGGTGGCCGAGTGACCTAAGTAGTCGAACTACTGTATCACTAGCCTGTCAACACGGAGGTTATGAGTTCGATTCCGCTACGTGGCAGGTGCGTTCGACTCCAATCTTAATTGACTAGGATTGTTAGTTTTCCTACCGGAGGTCGATGGTTTTCTCCGAGCAATCCGGCTTCCTCCATAAAAAAACTGACTGCCGCGAAATAGCGCAATAATGATGAAATAGATATTGTTAAACACAAAGCAATCAATCAATCAATCAACCATGATTATACTACAGAATTCTTGATTATTCCGTTCAATCTTTAATATTGCTTTTCTCTAACGTTATCAATAATCCGTTACTATAATATATTAAATTTCATACAATTGGTGAAAAGTATAAAAGATCATAACACATTTAGTCTGTATATAAATATAAAAGGATGTGTTATTACATTCCTCTGAAAAAAATGTTGTTTTGCTACCGGAGTATTTAGCAAGATTAACGCCATCTTAAGTCATTTATAATATCAAGTGGCCTCTTTTGATATTATGTTAACGATGAATGCTAAAGAAATAATTCAATAAAAAAAATTTAATATGGTCAATTTCTGAAAATATACATTTGAAAGGTCACAAAATTTATGATTTTATTGTGACTGGAATGAAGTTATGCATATATTTCAAAAAAAAAGAAGGAAAAGGTAAAAATAAGAAATTGCCTTATTCCATATTAAAGTGGTGAATGGAGATAACAAATATGCTTTAGACCTAATGTTTAAAATAAGATTCGCATTAACTTCAGGTATAATGACCGTCTAATTATAATATGTATCGAATAATAAACATATGTTAATAGATAGGTCTACCCAAAATAAATGTTGAGTGGACATACAAAAATAGCATTTAAATGCCTTTTCTCAGACCTGTCTTTGTATTGGCCAATAACATATCCACCTTTCCCAAAATCATGCGTAGTCAAAAAGTGTTTACGCCTAATATTTCGAACAATACGAAATCCCTCAATTTCTCTTCAAAATACCTTTTTACATAGCATACAGTTTTATTCAGCAACCAGGTTAACCTCATTTCCCCCGAATATAACAATCGAGAATCCCATCCATCCTTTCAATATATAATGTACTAGAAATCGCATGCCTTACAAGATTATTATTCTGAATTCCAAAAGGCTGCTTATGAGGAAGAATTTGCTTCAATGAAACTAGAAAAGTCGATTCATGTTTTTCGAAAATTTGTAAACATTTACCAGTCCTTTTAGAATATAAAAATAAGAAGATGTGATATGATTGCAATGATACAACTCTCCCCCAAAGACCAAATGACATAGAATTTAACAACTAAAGGTCATAGTACGGCCTTCAACAATGAGCAAAACCCATACTGCATAGTTAGCTATAAAAGGCCCCGAAATGACAAAATGTAAAACAATTCACACGAGAAAACGAACGGACTGAATTATGTACAAAACAATGAACGAAAAAACAAATATACAGCAACAAACGACAACAACTGAATTACAGGCTCCTGACTTGGGAAAGGCAAATACAGAATGTGGTGGAGTTAAACTAGCTTGTTGGCGCCAAACCCTTCCCATAAGAAGTCCATAAATAATAATGAATCTTATTTTCATATGAGTCGGAGTTCTTTCAGACACTTGTCAAAAACAAGAAGATCAAAGAAGCCAGATCATTTAATTTTACATTCAGATATATTAATGATGTTCTTTCCATTAACAATTCAAACTTTTCTGATTGGGTTCAATTTATATATCCTCCAGAACTAGAAATTAAAGAAACAACAGACACGGCTTCCTCCGTCTCAGTGCCAGAATCTATGACAAACGAGACGATTTTAATTTTGAAATTATCAATTTCCCTCACCTTAGTAGCAATATACCAACTTCACCTGCATATGGGATATACATTTCCCAACGCATTCGGTATTCAAGATTCAAGAGCTTACAGCTGCTACCCAGACTTTATAAAACGTCACCAGTGTCTGAGCAGAAAGTTGATAAACCAGGGTTATGTCAAAGAACGTCTCGTCCTTTTTATAAAAAAGTTCATCGGAAGATACCAAGACCTTGTTGATAAATATTCCGTATCAACTTCACAAATAATACTTGATGGTCTTGAAATATAGATTCACGGTACTGACGTTGTGTATAATCTTAATTACGTGTTATAGTGTTCTTTTATTTGTCTTTGTTAATTATTAACCTTTACTGTTTAGTCCATTTTTGGTAATATCCTTCTGACGTGGCTCGGTACTTATGGATCCCGCTAATGTGTTGTTGTGCTTTGGTCACTTTTTGTATTTTTGTCTTTCATTTTTGCTTATGTGCTTTGTCAATATGCCATTTTGTTTTTCTTTGTTGACATATTTGTTTGTTTTTATAGTGATTAAGATTATAACACAATGTTGACTGTTGTACCCCTTTTTTGACATTTTTACCTATTATGTCTGTTTGTTTTGTTTACACATTGTTGTCAATATAATGGAATTTTAGGCGACTGTTATACAAGTGAGAGGTTTAGCTAGCTATAAAACCAGGTTTAATCCACCATTTTCTACATAAAGAAAATGCCTGTACCAAGTCAAGAATATGACAGTTGTTTTCCATTCGTTTGATGTGTTTGAGCTTTTGATTTTGCCATTTGATAAGGGACTTTCCGATTTGAATTTTTCTTGGAGCTCGGTATTTTTGTTTTCAAAACTAGATACAATTATTCTTAAAAGTCAGGATTCAACAAATGAAAAATTGGAATGTAAACAACAAAAAGTTTGGTTGGTCCCAATACCAAAATGTAGAGAATATAATTTTGATTCTGAAATACCTTTTCAATGTTGCAGGCTGTAAGAATTGTATAAGAAATATATAAAGATAGTATAATAAAATGTTGATGACCGATTTGTGAAATGACAATACCGTGTTTAAAAAAAATGATTTGAGGTCTTAAAATTGGTACTTACCCGATATCAAAATTGCAGTCATCAAAGTTATAGATGCAATTCTTGATCCTGTTCAAAAAATTAATAAGGGAATAAGGAACATGAAAATCAGATACAAAAAAAAGACAAAACTTGGTATGATTGTGAAGTCAATCAGACGATTAATACAACAAATAAAACATACCTTTATATATCTATCTATAAATGATATAATAATGAATAAGAACTTAATTCATACTCCTTAATCAACAGATTTCATATCAGCAGTTTTTGCAGTTAACATATTTTAAAATTGCATTTTGATTTTGTTATATAGTCCAAAAGGGTCCATTTGTAGTAAAAGAAATAAAAGAACTATTACCTGAATGAAAACAAAAATCTTCCTTGTTAAGTAGGTTGTGAATAAATTAATTTTCAAATAGCGTTATAAGTAGACTGCTTACATAAATGCTATTAATCAAGTAGTAAAATGAAATTTTGTGAAACTAAAACTACTATAATTTCCTAAATTACTAGTTTTTTTTGAAAAATAATGAACAAGTTCGACTCATTTTGTTCGTGAAATCTAAATATTAAATCAGATTGTACTCATCGTGGTCCTTCATAACTGAAATGATAAAATAATTTCACGTTTAATGTTAATTTGGTATGCTCTAAAACCCATGTTGTTCCCTTATCAATGGTTCCGTCGAAGGCAGTGTCTGCTTGGAACCAACACTTAAATGATTGACAGAAAATTCAATTAGTTCTATTGGGCATGTTTTAAGTTTTCTATTGTGTGTTTTGTGTACAGTTGTTTGTCTGTTTGTCTTTGTCCTTTTTAGTCAGGCGTTGTCAGTTTATTTTCGACTTATGAGTTCAAATGTCACTTCGGTATCTTTCGCCTCTCTTTTAAGTTTTGTTTGTCACTTCTGATTTTGCTTCTGTACCAGACTTGACAGTCTGATTAAGAAATGATGCGGTTTAAACTGTAGTCCTTTAATGTTTTTCTGCAGTCGATTTGATGGCATTCCGTTATGTGGGAAACCATTGATGGCGTGAATCTGTCTTTCATGACATCCGACGACTTGGTTAGTAGTTGATGTTGCAGTAGTAACCCGTCTCGCAAATGGCATTACGTAATGAAATTCTATTAACGTGGCTTGGTCATTATAGGTTGATATGGTCATTAGTAGTCAATAACAAATCCCATATGTTAGTACCGTTGTTGTAAGGACTGTAAGAGGAGTTTCTGACGTGACATTGTCTAGCAACAGCAGGTTGACGTATTCCTGCCCGTAACATTTTTTTGGCATGATTTAGATTGTATTTCTGTGTCTCGGTAATATGGAAATGCAACATGTTTTTACTGATTGAAGTTTGGGTATGGATTCAACGAAATGGTTCACAAAGAATAAAACCCTAAAAAAATCATGCATGAGTTTTAAATCTCGCGTTTAGAAATTCGTGCGACGTCAATAATCCGGTATGTTCAAGTACCTCAGGCATGTCATCAGTATGTGAATTTGTGGAAACAGCAAGAAGTATGATAAGAATGCATAGCAGTTATATAAAGGATAATCATGATTTGGAAAAAACAAATCACGAAAAGATGTGTTGCGTTTTTAAAGTCCGTCAGAATATTACAATCATAGGAATTTAATACTGGAAAATATTTGTCGATTATAATAAATCACACTGAGAATAAAACTACTTTTAGTTTAAAAAAGTTTACCTGTTCCTTTCGTTATCGGTTTCCTAATATCGCTACCTTCTACTTCATCAAGTGTACTGTAAGTTGGTTGACTTCTGTAATACAGTCTGCAAAAAAAGCAATGCATAAGGTTTTTTTATGTATTTCAATGTCTTAATTTTTCTGTTACACTTACTGATATCGATATAAAATGCTATTTTTATTATTCATGGTAATCCAGGTCGTTCTACTGTTGTAGTTGCTGCGGTAATGGTTCGATTCCGTAGCTGAATTACACGGAAGTAGCGATCTTGCCCATGAATCGTTATGCGAGGTCTTCTATTCCTCGGAAGGTCATTGGCTGAACCAGCCTGTTTGAGTCTATTCCACTGCTAGTGCTCTGGTTAACGGTTAATGTAAGTTCAGATTCATTTGGACTATTCGGCTTGGAAATTATCAATAACGACATTTCGAGTGGCAGGGTCCAATTTCGGAAAGGCAGCATTTCAACTTCATGATACAATTAAGGCGACAGAAGTTTATCGATGTCAAAATCTCATCAATTGATTAGAAAGAGACAAATCAAGGTAACAAATAGAAAAAAAAAAATTAAAACAACACGTTATAAATTTCATGCAAAAACTCCACAATGATAAAAGTCAGGTTTCAAATTTAAACCTTGTATAAGCCTAGTTTATCAGTTATATTGACAACGAATTGCCCGTGAAAAACGTTACTGAATATTTGGGGTGATACATGTACATGGACCATCCATTTCTTAAAGCCACAGTGTACGTTTGGCAAATAGTTAAATCCAATGAATAGGCATTTAGAAGTTGAAACTAACTTTTTAGAAAACAATGATTACATTGGCCATTTAGATTTATCTGGTTTATTGCAGAATTTGCATTTTGAAAAAAAATCAGGGGGTTATGCGTTTCTGTTTTTAATAGTATAATAATATAAAAAATATTTGATTAAACCTACAAAACTATATACTGAAATGTTTGGGTTTGAGCGTTCCTGAAGGTTAATCAAGAAAGGCGATTTGTACGCACACAATTAATAAATGATATAATCATTTATGCATTACAACTGTTTTGATTCCAGTGCCACTAACGAGTCCTAAAAAGACGAAACGCGTGTCTGGCGTGCTAAATTATAAGCCCGTGATATTCAATGATTTTTATTAACGAATGGCTTATTACTTTACAAACGTCTGGTGTTCTATATAATAAAACTAGCATTTTTGATGGGTTTTTTTTCACCACAGACTTGATATCACTGCTTTGGTCCCGATGGTATATCCTGTAATATCATTGATGCGGTCATTCCCTGTACATTTACTATTCCCTACTTATCTTTACCCTTCGAAACTTTAAAATGTTCCTACTTCAAAGCATATATGGCTTTAGCCAGAACTGAAACATACAGTATATAATAAAGTGTATGACTTTTCAATGTCACACACCGTATTAACTCCCAAATCAAAACATTCCCTTAAGCAGAGCTTTTAGAAAAATATTGGTGTCTATGATTGATACAGGTGTGATCAGGGTGACGAAATCAAACTATCCTTTGATATATTAGGGATCTCTCTGTTTTATAATAGACTTTTGAAATCCGGAGATTTGAAACGCGCAATATTTGAACTTCCATGCAAAGGAATCAAAGACTTTGCTGTCTATATGCATTTCGTGTGTGCTTTTTGTGTATCTTAATATAATTTGAGTGTCGAAAATAATGTTTACGCCGTACCAACATAAATAAAAAAAAAATTGGCTTCCATTTTTATAACTATGATGTTTAGTAAATCAATAAGAGTAATACAAAATATATATTTATCTGACTTTTTAATTTCAAAAAGAAAAAAGTTATGTAAAACAATGAAGTTAACTTACTGTGTAATATCAATTTCTTCACAAACAAGCAGTCCATAAGAATCCCCTTTGTTGATGCATTTGTAGTCTAGTTATAGAAAATATATTTTAGATGTTGACTCATAGAAAAGTAAATAATATCGTGTGATGTATCGTGTGGTACATTTAAATTTCAATTTCATCTTTGTTGATTTTTAAGGAAGTCAAATAAAGTTTATCATTCAGAAACTTGGTATCAAATAGTCTAACTTTAATTACGATTCAGAAGAGCACAGAGAAAACTTCATTAATTGGTCTCTTGGTTGCTGGATAATTAACTTCGAGTGCTGATTAATTAATCTATTAAATACGGTAACAAATAAATAAGGTTTGGCCGGGGTGAAGGACAATCTGGACTTCCATTACCAAAAACGTTGTTCCAAGTCTGACTAATGCTTTCTTTGACTTTCTTGAATTGCTAATATAGTTTATGCAGTAGAAAATGTATTCAAGAACGTATGCTTCCCTAATTATTTATAATTTTCATTTTTGAATTACACACTTCTATTTCAGATGATCAGTAGTTTTATTTTTTATTCGAAAACAAAAATAAAGTAAATTGTGCAAAAAGAAACTGAAAGCACTTGATTAGTTGCAAGCAAGAAGAAAAAAAAAGTACGAATTGAACTTGAACATAATTTTGATCAAATAACTTAAAATCTAAGTAAGACTTAATTATGTTGTGTTTACATACCCGGTGACAAAATCTCTCCGTTGCCACAAGTTTTCCTGAAACATGAACAGTCTTCCATTGTTGGATCACAGGAACATCTGTTTTTTCTATTTGTCGATAGAAAACTAAAACTCTTTGTATAGTCACACCTGCATTCTCTGTTACTTCGACTAGTTCCATTACTATTAACAATTTGTCCTTCATCGTTGCATGCTATTTTCTTGAAAATGCAGTCGTTGCCCTGATATGTAGCAAATGAAAATGGCTGGAATCGGTCATTGGAGCATGGTTTTGTATCAAAATTTCCGCTGTTGACCACTGTTTTATCTCCTAAAAAAATATAAAGTATTAATCGGTTTATATAATATAGTACAAATACATCTATTGACTAATTGTGAATATAACTATATGGCAGATAGAATACCTATCCTGCCTGTTAGGCACAACTAAAATTTTGAATACTGATATATGACAGATTATCCCTCCTAGTGATAACCGCTTTTACAAAACACTGTTTAGAAACTGGATAATTTTTGTGCATAATAAAATATCCAGTAAATCTATACTATTAAACGAGAAGACCTCATTTTGTGTGTCGCTTCTCTTCCTTCCCCAATAAATTAATCATCATGCCTCTGTGTCCTATAGGTACCATGCATAGTCGCATTTGTCATCCATTCTTATGATTATTCAGTTTGGGTTATTTTGGGAGAAACACGAAGAAAAAGGCGTCCGGATATTGTTTCCGTCATCAGACCGACTTTTAAGTCATACCCAAAACTTCCGATTTTAAACTTTAAAAGAGGGGGTAAAGGGTTATTTTCGTGCAACGTGTTTTGCCACTTTTTATTTCACGTGCAGCCGTGAAAAAGGTTCGTTATTCACCGTGTTTCTTGAAATCGATAAAAAGATCAACGTGCAAGAAATTTTTAATTGTTCGCTCATCGTGAAATGGCAATTTTATTTCGCGTTCTTCCGTGCAGAGACTCCCCCCCCCTTTACTCCCCTCTTTAAACATAATTTTCATAATTACTCGGGGACAGGACAATTATTTTCGCGTTATTCTGCATGTATACTATGATTATAATCCTATAATATATAGTGACTCTCTATATAATATAACAGTGATCGCCGTGGAGAAGAAACTTGGAATTGATAGTTAATAGCAAATACACTTTATTTATATTATATGTATGTTCATAGTATACAGAAACGCAAAAATCATGGAATTTAACAGAGAGCAAAAAAATAACGGACTTTGGAAAAATGGAGAGGGTTTAAAATCATTGTCCTGTCTCCAAGTGCCTATGACTCAGTTTGATACCGCTTTTTCTGAAATTCTCCAGACATAAAATCTTTTACAAAAATTCATCCTACAACAGTTTACATACTTTAAACCTCTAAATACCCGCGATTTCGCGGGTGTGTTCTAGTTGTTATTAAATTTCGAATAGCTGTATCGTACAATGAATAATTTAAGATACACGAAAGTATGTAGCCAGAAAACTTATTAAGAAAAAAGAAAAATACTTCTTTACATAATGTCACAAAGTAACACGTCACGTCCTTAGGAAGTTTGGTTCTTTACAATCAAATAAAACGAGCACTTTGCAGTTTTTAGAAGAAAACCTTCATTTTATGAAACGTTATGCTATGGCAGGAAACTTCAAATCATTTTGACATCTGTTCAAATGGTTACTAGTATTTGAAAAAAGAGGAGGAAGATACCGAAGGGACAATTAAAATTCATAAGTCGAGAAACTAATAAAACAATGGCAAAAAAAACGACGAAAAGACAAACAGTCTACAAAACACTTCATGATAAACTAAAGACTAAGCAACATGAACCAAACCGAAACCAAGTGGTAATCTCATGTGCTTCTTGAGTGCGGGAGGTCGTGAGTTTGAAACCTGGCCGCGTCAAACCAAATGCTGTAATGAAGAGAGGATAAGGCATCCACAACATCGGGTTCCTTGAATGGGTCGGAAACCGGTATGTTCAAGGTTCCTCGTTATTTTCTAATACTTCTCTGAATTCATTCCGATACTGCTTTGATCCATTCAGATAAAGTGCCAATAAATATTTGTCTCCAGCGACATTAGACATGGACACATTGGATCAGTGAACCTGTCAATGCAGGTGACCGTTTAACTTTTGAAGAATCGAATTCGGTCTTTCGTCCACGTAACTCTTTTTGTATTAAGACAACACGACTATTAATAAAGAACGTATAATGTGAACGAGCATATATTTTTAGCATGATACGTTGAGATATGCAATCACTACACGATGAGGCAAAAGTTATGTTGCAACTGAGAAATGAGAAATGTGTGCAATTGGAAAACTGAAAACCATATAAATATTTAGACAACCACGAACAAATCAGAATATTCGTTAATAATTTTGAAGGAAATAATGTTCAAATATGACATTAAATTTGGATAATTTGCATCACAATTTCGATTTACATTCCGAAACATGATTGATTCGTGCCAATAGCTGATAAGGAATTGCTTACCTTTCCGAAACAACTCTTAGATCTGTTTTTGTTTTTCCCTTGGTATTTTTGTCTTTCAACGCACAACACGAGTTTATTAAATAATATTTATCTGGTACCAAAATGCTTTTGGGACATGGATCTTTTTTCCCGGTGGTAAGATGAATTTTTTCTTTTTTTTTTCTTTAATTTCATTTTGTTTTACTTAATTGTTGTGTTCTTGTTCCTATTTATACGATCTTACAGTAACAGTAAGATATACGTGCTGTCTCTCTAGCTTATCTTCCACATAAGAATAGAGGAACAAAACGGATCATCTACTGTTATTGTAAGATCGTATGAATAGGAGCAAGAACAAATTAAAGAACCAAAAATAATTTGAAATATTTGAGAAATTTGAATTTACGTAAAACAAATTTAAACACCAAAATGAAAAAAAAATTTAAAAAAAAGAAGGTTCCATGCCCCAAGTGCCTGTGAGTCAAACAATGGAATTCTCTTTTAACGGTTCATTTAGATATTTCTTGAAGCTATGTTTCAAAGTCGACATATTGTGTTTCGAAAGTAAATATTCGATAATGAATGTGTAAAAATGTTTTTACTATAATTTCAACGTGTGAGTAAAATACACTTCATTAATCATTTAACAATAAACTAGTACATTATAAAATAAGTAAAAAATTTATTTTAAAAACACTTAATTTGTTACATCTTGAAGGGTCATACTTATCCAATTTACAGTAACAGTATCTTTTCAACGTTTATCGCATAAACTACCCGGACCATATAAGTATATAGTATACGCATATGGTCATGACCATCCAAATATTCATATGGTCCGGAACAGAAATATTCCTTTCGAAAATGTCAGTCATCTTAAATTTCATATACCTTTAGTTTCAAAATAGGAAGTGCAAAAAGTGAAATGCACCACGATCATTGATTTCATTGATATTGTAAACATCCATATCATTTTATCTTTAAATGTATATGTATTGCTTTTCTTCATTATTTGTTATATAGGTATGTTTGTAATCCTTTGGCAAATGGGCGTAAAGTGCTTTTTTTAATAAATAAAGAATTAATTTAAAATTGTAATCAACATTATCACGAAAACAACATTTCAGTTCTGACAAAAACACTTATTTTTTTGTGACCAAAAGTAAATTTCGAAAGCTTTCATTATTTCAGAAATTTTCAAACTTAATCTTTGTTAACGTAAATGCAACTAGTATTACTTACCGGGTGGTTCAGTTTTGGGTCCACTACAGTCTTCTTTATAAATATTGTGTACATAATCAAGCAAGCATGTGTATTTTCTTACAGATGAACATATCGAATTAGCTCTAAGGTGCCAAAGTTGTTCTGATGGACATACAGCGTCGTAATATGCATAAATTATACAGCAATGCTAAAAAAGTATACAAATATTAAGACTGACATTTCTTTTGTTAATTTGTAACGTGAACATGGTGGAAATAGTATGTTATCACTGATTAAAAGCTACTTGTTTATAATGCAAGGTTTGTATTGCACCTTTCGAAAAAACCTGAAACTAAAAACAGACACGAAACAAGAAAGCGAGATTACATATTTCACAAAAGAAGCCGTGTGGATAGTTTTATATTTTGATATTACAAAAAGAGGTTTGATTATAATCTATAAATTACAAAGTCTCCCAAAACATAAACTGGGCTTGTGCATAAAGAACTACAGTAAATTGTGTTGACTTCCTATGTGGCATAGAATTTTATTATTTGCACCCGTCTAGATTCTGATAATACAAACAAAAATCAACAGGGGTACAATAAAAACAAAGGAAAAAAGTACAAAAAGGCTACAGTTTGGACTCTTAAATTCGAAAATGAAAAGTATTTTGTACCTATCGTGTAGTATCCCTCAGAAGTTCACTAAAGATCTAAAATTTGTATCATTTTTTTAAATTTTGTCATACTTTCTGCTTTCGATGCAAAACTGCCAAAATAGCTTTGTTTCGATAGCTTTTCATTTATATTTGGATCAGTATATTTCATTACGAAATGTTTTCTACAAAAGCGTTAATATCGGTAACATATCATGTTGGTTAAGGCAAACAAAATGTAGGCTAATCTGGTGGAGAGTTGTCTTATTGGCAATTATACCACATCTTCTTATTTTTGTAATATTTAATTTTGCCAAAAAAAAAAAAAAAAAAACGATAAAACAAGTGAAATGAATGAGAATTACATTTATATATGTTATGAGTCCGACGCACTATTCTGGATTTACCTTCATCGCGAACGCTGAAAGCCATAAATTTGAATGCCAAGGATGTATAAATACAGAAACATATGAAGAGCTATATGACCACAGGGGACCTTAATATAATAGCCAAATTTATCTAACGTCTTTTTCCGAGCGGGAGTTGGTATCTTCAGAAAATACATGAATTGGAGCAGATTTTCGCAGGGATGGATTTCTATTCCAGAAAGAAGTTTGTAAATAAGAAGAATTAGCACTTTTACAGTAAAATAGAAATGGGATTCCTAAAAAAAAGGGGGGAGGGATGGTGGAAGGTGGTCGACCTTGGTTGAATGATGAAGATAAGATGCATGTATGCATCATGATAGCTGCAAAGTTTGAAGCTATAATCAGTTAATTTGTTCATTTAACCATTTCAGTGGCATGGAACTCCCCAAAAAATGATGCGTATCATTTTGACAAAAACCCTCCAGTTATATCATGTCACGACTAATATTTTGGTCAATTTTTTTTTGTCGATATCTTTAACTCTTTCTGAGTAGAAGCAGTATGAAGTGAATGTCAAAATTTAGAACATGACCTTGACCTTTGACCTTGACCTCATTTTCTTAGTTGGGACCCAAGAACCTCAAATAAAAGGACTCTAGGTTTATACGGCTTACGGTTAATGAGTTACAAAAATATTACGACAAATTATTTGGTTAAGGTAGATAACTCCTATAAGATTTCACTGGATTGCTTCGATCAAAATTGGCCAAAAATTTCTGAGGATGTAACGAACAATTCAGAAAAAGAATTTTGTCGTTATCTTCTTTTGTTACGAAGGAGATGCACACACAAGATAAACAGTGAATTGGGAGATAACAATTACCAAGAAAATTGTTTGGCTTAGCAGGGTAAAACTTAAAAGCGCATAAACTGTACGATACTTTATTAGAAATATCTAAGCCACATATTGCGAAACAAAAATTGCACGCAAGAACAAAATTTGGCGGAAGAAAAAAAAAATTAAAAACCAATTGTGAACAATTGAAGGTCTTTCCATACCAATTTTCTAAATAATTGATAAGAAGCTACTTCCGGTTTACTCAAAGTTATTTTTGGCATTCAATCATAGATTTCTTCATACTTATTCAATAAATATATGGTTTCTATATACTTTTGTTTGAAATAAGGGAGATAATTGCCAACTTCCGGTTTAGAAAATATCACTTCCGGTCTCATATGATAGCTGTATTTACACTGATTCCAAAAATATATGGTTTATATATACTTTTGCCTGTAAAAAGGGAGAACATTGGCTACTTCCGACTTAGAAAATGTCACTTCTGGTCATAAATAATAGCTTTATTCCCACTGATTCCAAAAATTTATAGTTTGTATATACTTATGCCTCCAATAAGGGAGAGGATTTGCTTAATTCTAGTTTTAGAATGTCACTTCTGGTCTCAAATGATAGGTTTATGTATGCCCATTAAAACATATATGGTTTTTAGGTACTTTTCCATGAAATAAGTGCAAAAATTACTACTTCCGGTTCACTCCAGCTCACCTCAGGTTGACATTTTTCAAGGTCCCCCAACATGTTTCAAAAGACCCTATGGCATTATCATGTACCAAGCTGGAGTAATCATCAATTAACATTAAATTTAACCATTTCAGGGACAGTAACTCATATTAGATGTCATTGAATTGTTTCAGACCAAATGCATCATATCTTCATCACAATGAAGCAAACATTTTGCACTAGTCATTTTATACATATCTTTAAAAGTGTCAGAGGAGATCATAAAACAAGGAAAAGTCAAAATTTAGAATATGACATTGCTCTTTGAACTTGACCTCAATTTCATTTTAGTGAACAAAGGATCTCAAATCAAAATATCTTAGTTCACTATCACTTACCATTCATGCTATGCATTAATATATCCTTTATGTCAAATACAAAAGGGGAAATAACTCTCATTTGGAGTCTTCGTGTCGCTTCGGTCAAAATTGAAGAAAACATCCTGATGATCTAAAGAGCAATTTGGTACAATAAATTTGTCGATTTCTTTTAGAGTTACGGAGGAGATGCACTCACAAGGAAAACAGTGTTCGGGGAGATAACTCTTAAAAAGAAAAGTATTCGGTATAGCAGGGTCATTTTCAAAGGAAAATAAACTGTGCAATATCATATACAAAACATCTAAGCGACATCTTGCGAAACAAAAATTACACGCAACGAAAAAATAAAAGTGGCGGAAGAAGAAAAAAAAATAAATATAAATCAATTGCTTTAAAAAAGCCATTGTAAACGGTTTTCCCCTTTGAACATGATTGATTGCTATGTGTGTTTGGGTGTTTGTGTGTGTGTGTGTTTGTTTGTTTGTTTCTTTTGTTCAATGAATGTTTTAACGTTTACCAGTCAATTGTTCACATTACAAGGAGAGAGAAAGAAAACAAAAACACAAGTAACAGAAAGAAACAGGTTTAATATTACCCCCCTAAATAAAAAGAGGGGAGGGACCGAAGTTCTCATTTTCAGACAAGGGTCCATATTATTGTGTTGGTTAAGTTTCTATATTCAGTTTGGAAAGTTTTTATTCTATTTCAGGTCCCGCGCGCGTCTCTCGCGCCAGATTGTGACGTCACGAAGCTGGTTTATAATAGCGAAAACTTAGAATATTTCTTTCTTTTTAGATGGAGATGTTGGACAGACAATATGTATATCGACGGAATAACACACAATGTATTTCTTTTGTCATTGTAGGTAGTTGATGTTTTGATCAGAGTTCTCGAGCAGTGCATGCTTTGGATTTAATTGATCCTGTGTACTTTTAAAACACGTTTATCGATTATTTTCATACAATGTACAATTTTCAGCAGCAGTTTGTAACAGATTTGTATTTTAATCTAGGAGCAGACATTTCATTGTAGGATTTCACTGAGATTTACGGAGCTAGCAAGCGATTTTTACGGCATTGAAATTTCTTTTCTCTACGAAAATTCTTGGGAGGTAGCTGCACAACGTTGTTATATGAAGATGTAATACATGTATACCCTGCTGACTGCAAATTTTGAGGTCAATTTGACATGTAGTTTCAGAGAAGATCACATAACATGAATGTGGATTTTTTTTCCGAGAATATTGTAATAACAATATTAAAAACCAATTGTTCAGAGAACAATTGAAGGTCTTTCCACATGACATTTCTAGATAACTGATGAGAAGCTACTTTTGGTTTACTCAAAGTAACTATTGGCATCCAATCATAGGTTTGTTCATACTGATTCAAAAAATATTTTGTTTTTTTTTATACTTTTGACTTAAATATGGGAGATAATTTGCTACTTTCGTTTAGAAAATGCTATTTCCATACTCATATGATAGCTTTCTTTGCACTGATTCTAAAAATATATGGTTTTATATACTTTTGCCTAAAATATGGGAGATAATTTGCTACTTCCGGTTAAGAAATTGTCATTTCCGGTCTCATTAGATAGCTTTTTTTCCACTGATTCCGAAAATATATGGTTTTTATATTCTTTTCCTTCAAATAAAGGAGATAATAAGCTACTTCCGGTTTAAAGAATGCAACTTCCGGTGTCATAAAAAGGATATTGTTAGCTGATTTTAAAAATATATAGTTTATAAGTATTTTTTGTTTGAATTAGTGCAAAAAGAGCTACTTCCGGTTTGCACAAGGTCACTTCCAGTTGATATATGTCAAGGTCATGTGTCATCTAACGCTTTGCAAAAGACACTATGGCTTGATCATGAACCAGAATAAAGTTATATTCGATTTACCATAAATTTCAACATTTAAGGGGCAATAACTCCTATAAGGTATAATCAGATCGCTTTGGACTAAATGTATCATTTGTTCGTTTCAACAACCCAAACATTTAGCATCAGTTTATTTATATGTAGCTTTTTTTGTATTAGATAAATGCACACACAAGCAAAGGGCGAAATTAAGAAACTAACCGTGACCTTTGGCCTTGACACCATTTTCATGTTGGTGTACCAAGGACCTTCAATCAGGATACCCTAGGTCTCTATGACTGACGGTTAATGAGTTACATTTATATATGACTTATGTCAAATACAAAAGGAAAAATAACTCTCATATGGAGTCTCAGTATCGCTTCGGTTAAAATTGAGAATTTAACGAGCAATTTGGAAAAATAAATTTGTCGATTTCTTTTACGGTTGCGAAGGAGATGCACACACAAGAAAAACAGTGTTCGGGGAGATAACTCTTACAAAGAAATTAGTTCGGTTTAGCAGGGTCAAAATTAAAAGCGTATAAACTGTACGATAACACATACCAAATATTTAAGCGACATGTTGTGAAACAAAAATTACACGCAAGAACAAAAGAGAAGAAGAAAAAAAAAAATAATCAGAAGAAAATCAATAGGTCTTTTCACAGAAAAGTGGAAAGACCTAATAATCAGATTAAATACAATAGGTCTCTCCACAGAAAAGTGGAAAGACCTAATAATCAGATCAAAATCAAAAGGTCTTTCTACAGAAAAGTGGAAAGACCTAATCATTCCAGTATCGAATCTCTGACTACTGACTACTGAGTTGATGATATGATTCCCCGTAAAATAGCCATTTTCGGTCAAATATGCGACTTTTAACATATTAATGACATCCCAGTGATTTCATAAGAGAAATTTGTATACGAAAACGATGTTTATTATATTGATTTATAAAAAATTAACAAAGATTGAAAGACTTTAAGAACTTTACAATTTTTTGACCCCAATACTTGTTCTATGTTACCCCTCTCTTAGAAGGTTGTGACCACTTTCAACACAAAAGAGCATGCAAATCATATCATACATTTAGTACGTGCATTCTGTTAGCACCACTGTAGGTGGACAACCAGTTCAAATGGATATCACCCCTACTCCATGTAGCAAGTGATTTCATATTACACAAAAGGCTTTAAATTTCCAGTTCTTAAGATTAAGTTATTGTGATCAATTTAAGGTTTCAACTTTCTCCAAGAATTATTGACCTCGGGGGGTTGTTCAATATTAAACAACTCTTGTTTATATGAACTGAAATGCATGATTGTTTGTACTTTACAAATATTTGACCTTGATAGTGTCTTGTGAAGTTTTCCCTAAAACACTAGTGGTGCACATATTTTGCTGTTGCAATAAATAACGAAAATGCTTTGAATTTACATTTTACTTATTACTTACCAAGTACAGTACATATGCAACGAATATCATGCGTTTAGACATGTTGTCTTTTATTCTTCATTTAATTAGATGATCTTCTGAAAAAAGATACGTGAATAAAGCAGAAATTATGAAAATTATTAATTATTGGTATCATTTTTATCGTGTTCATAGCCACGTTTGTATTTCTGATTGCAATTCAGTCCATTAGTGGAAATAGGAAGATGTGGCATGTTTGATTTATAAGAAAAACGTGTACTTTCGCATGACACTTTCATCATTAGGTCTTTCCACCTTTCCGTGGAAAGACCTATTGGTTTTCTTCTGATTATTTTTTTTTCTTCCGCCTAATTTTTTTCTTGCGGTGTATTTTTGCTTCAAAAGATGTCGCTTAGTTTTTTGGTACATGATATCATACAGTCTATACGCTTTTGAAACTGACCCTGTTTAACCGAACACTTTTCTTTGTAAGAGTTATCTCCCCAAACACTGTTTTTCTTGTTATGAGATCTCCTCCGCAACCGTAAAAGAAAGCGACAAATTTATTTTTTCAAATTGCTCGTTATATCCTCAGGATGTTAGGTTTTATTTAGACCGAAGCTTTACGAAGACTCCATATGAGAGTTATTTCCCCTTTTGTATTGATATAAGTGAAATTTATTTGTAACTGGAAAACCATAAGTGATAGAGGCATAGGGTCTTTTGATTTGAGGTCCTTTGTCAATAAAAATGAAAATGAGGTCAAGGTCAAAGGTCAAGGTCATGTTAAAAATTTTGATTTTGGCTTGTTATCACTAATTTTCAGAAATCTTATAAGATATCGACAAAATACTTTTACAGAATTGTTAGTTGCGACATGTCGTAACATGTAAATTTTAATGGGAGTTTTCTCCCCTTTTATATTCAAAATTACATGTATGGTGATATAACTCATTCATCTTATATAATTGAGACCTAGGGTCTTTTGATTTGAGGCCCTTGTTTCATGACCTTTAAATTGGGGTCAAGGTCAAAGTTTAATTTGACGTTCTATTTTTTTTCTTTTTTCTTCCGCCTAATTTTTTTCTTGCGGTGTATTTTTGTTTCAAAAGATGTCGCTTAGTTTTTTGGTATATGATATCATACAGTCTATATGCTTTTGAAACTGACCCTGTTTAACCGAACACTTTTCTTTGTAAGAGTTATCTCCCAAAACACTGTTTTTCTTGTTATGAGATCTCCTCCGCAACCGTAAAAGAAAGCGACAAATTTATTTTTCCAAATTGCTCGTTATATCCTCGGGATGTTAGGTTTTATTTAGACTGAAGCTTTACGAAGACTCCATATGAGAGTTATTTCCCCTTTTGTATTTGATATATGTGAAATGTATTTGTAACTGGAAAACCATAAGTGATAGAGGCCTAGGGTCTTTTGATTTGAGGTCCTTGGTCCATAAAAATGAAAATGAGGTCAAGGTCAAAGGTCAAGGTCATGTAAAATATTTTGATTTTGGCTTGTTATCACTAATTTTCAGAAATCTTATAAGATATCGACAAATTTTTTTACAGAATTGTTAGTTGCGACATGTCGTTACACGTATGGTGATATAACTCATTCATCATATATAATTGAGACCTAGGGTATTTTGATTTGAAGCCCTTGTTTCATGACCTTGAAATTGGGGTCAAGGTCAAAGGTTGATTCGGCGTTCTATATTTTGACCTTTGCTTTTACCTCATATATATACATGATAAAGCCATGGGACTTTTTGCATTAGGTTGCAAGCCATTTGACCTTGAATAAGCCAACCGGAAGTGACCTTTTGTAAACCGGAAGTAGCTATTTATTCTACTTAATTAATGTAAAAGTATATAGAACTATATATTTTTGGAATCAGTGTCAAGTAAACTATCAAACAATACCGGAAGTGACAGTTTTTAAACCGGAAGTCAAAAATTATCTCCATTATTTATCTTTTTTTGTATAGAAACCATATATTTTTGGAATAAGCGTACCTTAAGCTGTCATTTGACGCTGGAATTGACATTTAAAACCTAATTTTAATATTTTTCAGATCAAAATAGATCCTTACTGGTGGAAAGACCTTCAATTGTTCTCTGAACAATTGGTTTTTAATATTGTTCTTACATCTGTTCTGAAAAAAAAATCCACATGCTTGTTATCATATCTTCTCTGAAACTACATGTCCAACTGACCTCAAAATTTGCAGTCAGCAGGGTATACATGTATTACATCTTCATAAAACAACGTGGTGCAAATATCTGTCAAGAATTTTCCTAGAGAAAAGAAATTGCAATGCCGTAAAAATCGCTTGCTAGCTCCGTACATCTCAGTGAAATCCTATAATAAAATGTCTGCTCCTAGATTAAAATACAAATCTGTGTTACAAACTGCTGCTGAAAAATGTACATTGTATGAAAATAATCGATAAACGTGTTTTAAAGTTACACAGGATCAATTAAATCCAAAGCATGCACTGCTCGTGAACTGTGATCGAAACGTCAATTACCTACAATGACAAAAGAAATACATTGTGTGTATTCCGTCGCTATACATGTTGTGTGTTCAACGTCCCCACCTAAAAAGAAATAAAAATACTAAAGTTTTCGCTAATATAAAGCCTCGTCACGTGACGCCACAACCTGGCGCGAGACAAAGACGCGCGCGGACCCTGAAATAGAATAAAAACTTTCCAAACTAAATATAGAAACTTAACCAACACACTAATATGGACCCTTTAAAGAAAGAAAAAAAAACCAAACAAACAAACAAACAAATAAACAAACAAACAAAACAAACATACAAATATATCAGTCAATCATGTTTCAGGTGGGGGAAAGACCGTTTACAATTGCTTTTTAAAGCAATTGATTTATATTTTTAATTATAATTTTTCTATCTATACGCAAGATCAATCTTCATTTGCACTCCTCCAGCTGCTAAAACATGATTTAGTGGTGAAAACTCAATACTACATGTATACAACGGCTGCTTAACAACGTTTTCAGACTTCCGTTTCTTTTCTAATTTTTTATTAGAAATCAAAAGTAATGATTAACTCACCAATCTTAAGTAACATCATAATCTGAATAAAGATTGTCTAAGTGTTGGTAAGTTTCAGATATTCATAATACTTCCTGATACGATCATGCTGTAGGGTCCATTTTGGGTGCATTTAATACAAAAACATTATTGAAACAGATTAACACTGGTTTGCTAGTTTTTATGCGCTTGCCCGCAATGTAGAGCAAGTGGAAGATAGCAAGAATCACTAGTGATTACTACTTATATTGGTCATATTGAACATATTGGTCAACCAAGTAAGGATTAGGTGTCATAGTCTTTATATTACCCCTCAATTGTTAAAACGAAAGTGAAATTCATTAGTCTTAGAACTATGATTATTCAATTGACGGTGAAAAGGATGATACGGTATGGACCATGCATAATGACATTCATTTATAGGTCTAAATAGATATATGAGCCGCAATGGCAATTTATTGCTAAAAATATTTTTGAAATATTGACTAAAAGTCACAGCCCTATCACAGAACATCTTAAAATTGCTTACATTATCCCAGAATAAGGCTGCCATGGCAATTTTTTTTCCAGTTTTGCATTAAATGCAAGATTATTAGGCCCTAACTGAATGCAATTTGCAAGACAGTTTTGTACAAACTGATATATGATTTGACCTTATTTTTAACATTATGGTTTTACATGAAAATTGAAATTCAAATATGTTAAAGAAGCAAAGAAACAACATTTATAAAAGTACCCTTAGTGTGAAAGAAAGTAATCAAAATGAAATAAAAGTATTCACAGATTACTTCCGGAGCATAACATGAATTAAAAAATGCTTTAATTCCGTTTAAATTCAAATTTTATTAACAACTATACATGCCTTAAGTCTGAAACCTTGAACGTGCGTCGGATTACCTGAATGGAGATTTTGTTTTATGCACTCTTATAAAAATAGTGTTTTTGCTTATAGCGACATGTGATAGAAACCCTTATGCAAAGGTCTCGATTTGTCACATTTTATACTAGTAGTATTAGTCAGAATTGTTCATGATCTAAAGGATTTCTTCTGAGTAGCTTTATATATATATTTCGCATCCCGAATTCCAAAGAAGGTATGAAGAGCCTTTATTTAGCTCTAAATAACAAAATATTAAGGTAAATCATGCCTTACAAAATAATGTTAATTTTATTCCTAAATGAACAGGTTGGTATAATCTGGACATTTTACTGCAGAAACGTCACAAATGATGCTACTGTGATCACATAAACCTGCTGAATATATAATGGACATACTTGACCTAAAATGACAACTATACACATAGCTTTTGAACAATACAGATATGATTAACATCCTTATCTTCAAAGATATTTTACACACATTAACATTGGTGTAAAATACATCTTGAAGGAACATACCTTTTTGGGTAAAGCTGTCGCTCATATCTATACTACAAGATATCTAAATGAGGCTATTTTGACAGTTAATGCAGTTTTGCACTAAATTCAAAAGTTTTGAAGCCTTGATTCAAAAATGTTTATACTGAGGCCCGACAGACTACTGTTGTATAAACATCTGAAGGATGTTATTTGGTAAATTTACAATTGTTTTTGATTTTCTGATTCAAGGGGCCTTATACGTTCTCCTGTCTGAAATGAAGACGACTCTCATTCTTATCAATATATATTTGTAGTTAACCCTATAGCTTAATACAATTCAGAAGTAAAATTTTTGATACTTATATAACATAAATTAGAGCCAAAAAAGATTGATTGTTGGTTGCTTAACGTCCAGTGGCAAATATTTCATGCATGATCAGGACGATAGAGCCAAAAAAGCAAATAATAAAAAAAAAAACAAAACAATTACCTACATAAGATAACTAAAACTATAAGAAAACAAATGAAATTATAATCGAAGCATTTTTATGAAAAGTTAATAAATGATAAAATAACAGATATAAAGGACAACAGCAAACTCACTATTTATAAACATGTAAAACAAAATAATACAGAAGAAAAATATTTAGCTTGCTCAAAATTTGAATTATATAGTTCTATAGAA